TATGTTGGTTAAATCCACTTTATGCAAAGTTAAAGTTTACAAATATAAAGACATTCCAGGGACATTGGGTACATTGTCTGAAATTTTCCAAAATGTTTTAAACATCCATTTTGTGCACAAAAACTTTAATTGTAATAGTGCTATACATCTACTTTATTAGGAAACTCAAAGGGTTAGAGTTATATTTATAATTGTTTCATCCTATATAATAAAGAGTTAATGTGCTAATTAGAGCAGACAGCAGAACAACCTTCTGGAACAACCTTCCACAACAACCTTCCGGAATGACCAGTGGGCAGGGCTGTGGGGCCGCAAGGCAGCCAGGGCTGTGAGGGCTGAGCCCCTTACACAAATTTTGTGCATCAGGCCTCTAGTGTACTTATAAGGAAGGAACTTTATTGGTGGAATAGCGTTTATTATTGTAACTGTTATTGTTTGAGTGGCATGGATTTACTGTGTTACAATCAATTAACCATTATTCTCATGAAATTCTATACGAAATACTTCATATTTAATACCTTTACTCATGAATAACACCAAGAATTTCATTTCCCTTTGGGGCATACAGCTGTTTCCAGCCTACTCAGTGCCATGTCAGGGCATAAAATCATCTTGACAGAAAGTTCTAAATTATAAATAGTCCCATAATGACATTCAGCTTGGGCGGTACATTTTATAAAAGGAGTTATTAGGAAAAATGTCATTCTAACCCATTACTATAAGGAAAATTCCTCACATTTCTGCAGCTCTTTTGGACCCCCTATAATATTTACATATGTAAGTATTTAAAAGGCTATGGTTATCAGATTTACAAGTATAAAGACATACTAGGGATGTTGGATAAGTGTTTTCTCAAATTTTCGGAAACTTTTTTTATCTAAAACTTTTCTATCACAAATACATCTTAATGCATGCCTTCTTTCTATGATGACTGCTGAAAGACTGGAATATTAACACTCCACAGTTTGATATTATTCAAAAGGCATAACTCTGGTAATCCTTCATATATTATAAAAGAAACAAAAGAATCTGAAGTTGATTTATTCCATTGGTATCCTATAAGTAACTTCATAATATTGGGTATTGAATAAAATTTTGTGAGACGTTTTTTCCTAGCATAAAAGCTGATTATGGATTACTTGGTGTTAGTGTTCTGATTTTTAAATACCCAATTAATTCCGGCATCCTCTTGGCACATTTAAGTCCTACAAGAATCTGCTTTGAACCCAAAGAATACTTTTCTTTGAACAAAATTATCTTTTTTCCAAAAAGCTTCAATTTTTTAAATAATTGTATTTCTGTAAATTATCTTTTTGTTTTTATACTGCTTACATAACAGGTTATTTCAGCACCTGAAAGTTGGGATGGGTAAGAGAGTGAATGGGAAAAGCAGAGGAAGGTAACACTTGTAATGAGTCCATGTTGCAGACCTATACTTTTCAAGCTTTGGCCTGTGTTATGGTCATCACTGAAAACACCTAGAACATTGCTGGTTGGAGCTGCCATCGTGGAGATGCCAATGTTAGGGTAACAGGAACATTTAGTCTCAGGATATGTGTATATATACGTGTGTATGTGTATGTGAACATTCAAAGTCATAGCCCCCAGCTCAGGAGTTTGTAAACATTGTCACATGGTGCTGTTTAATGAGCCAAAAAGTACCAAATGATTGCTGATCCCTACTTCACTCTTCTAATTCAGTTTTTAATCACATTTTCTTCTTTGACCCCTAATCATTCTTAATAGAGACATTTTCTTAGTTGGCTTTTGCCAGTTTAGCAACATTTTGTCCCTCTTTTAGGCATATCTTGAAAACAGCATAATTGGTTTATTCTTTCCTTTCTCAATTTCTGTCTCTTAAAAGTGATTTCTGTCAAAGGTTCCGTGTTCTGAGTTGTTCCCTATGCTCCCTAATCACTTTAGCCACTTAGCTTTGAAACTGCCTGGTGAGAAACAAAGTTGTCCTGGCAGATGTAGGTCAGTCGCTTGATTTCTCATTTTCCTCATCCCCCCCCCCCCCCCCGTAACATGACCCAACGATGATGAGAAAGTATAATATTTTTAGCTTTCTTTTAAAATCTTTCTATTCTGAGTTTAAGCCACTCCAATTTCTGATGTTTTAAGAGAATCCTGCTGTTTATTCCAGATTAGATTCCAGCTTTATAAAATAATCTTTTGTGTTGACATTCAGCAGGGGAGGAACACAAATCAGTCAACTTGATTTATTTAGCAAATATTATGGCCTTCTGTTATTTGCCAGGCACTGTGCTTGCCATTGAGGATAACAGTAATGAGAGACATTTTCAGAGGACCTCATAAATTAGTGAAGAAGATGGTTAATATACTCAAACCTCTGTTGGTTGGTGAATTAAATTGCTAAGTAAATTATTTTAGGCCCCTGCAACAGATGCTTAATGATCTTGTGGTTAATACATCCCTGGTCTGAGAGTTAGAGGATTTTCTTTTCATTCTTTTCTGTTGACATGTCCCTCTTCCATCATATTTGTAGTATGATGCTGCAAAGTCAGTAATGTCTGTTTATAAAGTATTATGAGATCTTTGGGCAAAAGTGTTGAGTCAACAATAATATTATCCTTTCAACAAACATGAACTGAACATGTATGATTGGAGCATTGCATGTTAGGCTCCAGGAGAGATAGAAAGGTAAATGAGAAGAGTGTCTAGGTCTAGGAGCAGGCAATGCAGTGTTTGGGGTGGAAATGGGAGATGGTGGGAGTTTGTGGAGGAGGGGGTAATAATCAAGACTTTCTCTAGTACTTTCATTAAAACCAAATATATGTGTAAATGAGACTCTTATGATAATTATATCATTTGATAACTCTTTTTCCATCTGTTCAGATGACTTGTAATTGAATATTTTCTATAAGACTATGGTCATTGTAGATTCAAATATTGTTTCTTATTAACCTAGTTAAATATTTTTCTTTAGCTTTGCTTCCCTTTCACTTGTATTGCCATAGTTCTTAGTCATCATTATTAAAAGACATCTTTTGAATCTCAACTATGATATGTGTCAGCGTTTTGAACTTTGAATAATATGCCGTACCATTTCATGGGGCTAAAAAATCATCAACAATCCCCTTCCACCAGTGTTGACTATAAAAATGATTTCAATGTTACCTAAATAAGTGACAATATAAAGTCAAATATAAACTCTTTATACTTTTAGCTCTCGTTACCATAAGAAATCTAATAGAAATAAGATCAATACATATGGACATTTACCACATTAATTTAATGTTACAGATGAAGTTATTTTCCTGAAATTAAATTGCTGCTATACAGTGTGAATGTGATCCTGACAGCTACAATATAGATTTTTTTTTAGCTTATTACGCTTATGGGGCCATGTGCCTTCAGATGACTCAGATTTTTCCAGCACACTTTTCCAACCCACTGGAAAAACTTATTTGTATGGTGTAGTGTTAGGTCATGTGACCTTCTCTTGGTACATCATTTACATATTAAGTGCCATTATGTTCTATTTTCTTAGCTTGCAACAAATTAAGAACTGCTTGGCTCCAACACAATGGTGAATGCTTCAATGAATGTTGGCACCAACATTGCAGAACAATACTTAGTTATGAGCTAGCAGTTAGATAATCCGAATATACTTCTAGTAAAGCTTTGAGATTGTTGTGGATATAAAAATAGAAAATTACAAAGTACTATAGAGTACCTATAACGGACCACTAACAATATATTCACAAAGATTCCTTGGACTTCAGTTTGAGAAATATATCAAATAATATATATACATATAGTTAGACACCATATGTGGTGTGAACAAATAGAAATCCAACAACTATTATAAAATCAATCATACAGGCACTACAGGGATAGAAACGACTACATTATTAAAATGATTAATTATTGAATAATTTACTTTATTTGTAGATACTCTGCTATTTTTGAGTGCTTGTGTTATTTTTTGTAAAAATTAACAAAAATAAGATTTTGTTGGATGATCCTAAGAAGCATTAAGAATAAAGCAAGGTTTTGCAAATTATTCAAATAAAGGACAATAAAAGTTATTTATTATAATAAAAGACAATAGAATTGTATTGGGTTCAGGATCAAAATAGTAGTAGTCATCACTAGGCTTCCTCAGGTAATGTAGGTAAGGGAAGAGATTGGAGTTTTGAAAGCATTCTCTTTCTGCAGAGTTGTCAGACTTTATAACAACAGGCTTCACTAACCAGAACTGCAGCTCTCCCATTCAGGGTCTAAGGGAAATCCTTTTGGCTCTCCCCCCCCCCCCCCCACCTTGTCCAGTCTGAGCTTCTCAAGTTGTCTTAACTAGCTCACAGAAATAAACCACTGCTAGCTTAAAAACAGCCAGTGTTTTTTTTTTTTTGGAAAAATACTGAAAAAGGAGATGGATAAAGTACAAATAAAGCAGAAGGGTATGGAGAGATATACGTAGGGGTCTGTCTATTCCCAGTCAATTCTCTTCAGTTCATAAATACTAGAGAAATGTGCTATGTTCACACCATTTGCTACGTTTGTCACTCGGATCTTGGTCATTAGATATTAGAAAGGAACAAATGAAAGTATGAAAGTAAAGACTTACCTTGATTTTCTAATGTAAAGCACATAAATCTAAAATTTAAATTGTTTAACCTGGCCACCTCTGGGAAAATAATCAATTTATGTTATTCTCTGGTTTAAAGTCTTTAAAGACATTACCACTGCTTATAGGACCTTTGTGAATTCTCTCTTGCTGGTCTCATAATATCCCACATTGCACTTTATATTCCAGTGATGCTGACCTACTTGAGTTCATTCTCTACTAGACTGTGACCTCTATGAGAAGAGGTTCCAGAACATCTCTGAACACCTAGCTTGTAATAATCCTTCAGCAAAAAATATTAACTCTAATTGGAGGAATTTGGTCAAAGCACATTGACAGCGAGATCTTTTCCATCTTCAGTGTATTTTATTTCGATTAGAGCAGTGAAATTAGAGGTAAGGAGCAGGTTAGAAGACCAGAAAAATCCAGATTTTGTACAAACTCTGAATAGTTGAGTTCAATTAAGTGTGCATTTGTTGAGTAATGAACATGTCCTGCTACTCATGGAGTTCAGTATCTTGTAGGGTTATCAAAGCCCTATTATTGACTGTGTATAAAATGATGGAGGATACAAGGAATATAAAAAATAGTTGAACTGTTCTGCTGAAGTTTTTGTTGTTTTGTTTTTAAATTTGGATTCTAGAGACAACTGGTAAAGACAAGAGCATGAGTATTTCAAGTTTCATTTTGAGAACTGAGTCATAGATGTTGCATTTCAAGCCAAGTAAAGGTTTGATTACTTTACACTTCATGGCTTTTTAAAATTCCAGTTGCTATAACAACTTTGATATTTCTTTATTATTTTTAGTACTTCCGTTGCCATAACAATAAGATACCTTAGCCCTAACCAGTTTGGCTCAGTGGATAGAGCATCAGCCTGGGGACTGAAAGGTCCCAGGTTCGATTCCGGTCAAGGGCATGTACCCTGGTTGCAGGCACATCTCCAGTAGGGGGTGTGCAGGAGGCAGCTGGTCGATGTTTCTCATCGATGTTTCTAACTCTCTATCCCTCTCCCTTCCTCTCTGTAAAAATCAATAAAATATATTTTAAAAAAAAGATACCTTAAAAAAATAGCAATTTTTTATAAGGAAAAACCTCTTTCAATTAAAAGTGAATTTGAGCCGAAACCGGTTTGGCTCAGTGGATAGAGCGTCAGCTTGCGGACTGAAGGGTCCCAGGTTCGATTCCGGTCAGGGGCATGTACCTGGGTTGCGGGCACATCCCCAGTAGGGGATGTGCAGGAGGCAGCTGATCGATGTTTCTCTCTCATCGATGTTTCTAACTCTCTCTCTCCCTTCCTCTCTGTAAAAAATCAATAAAATATATTTTAAAAAATAAATAAATAAAAGTGAATTTGAATAAACATTTATTTCCTATAATGTGAACCATTATTGAAAATGTAATTATGCTATTATGTTTTCATATTTTTTAATAGACTTTTGCAGGAGATGTTGTAAAGTTAAACTTTTTCCTCTCTGTTTTTCCTCTATGTGAAAGTTAAAGATAGTGGCTGTATTGAACTCTTTCTGTGAGATAATATTTGATGGGATTTCATTGATATAAAAACCTTCAACAGTTTAATTTCTAGATTTGTTATTTCTTAGAGTAAGAGAACATGACTAATGAATAGCTCTTCCATAGAAGATACAAAAAACTCGGAATTTCCTTTTTCCTATGTGTCTTTAAGTGTACTTATCATATCTATTGCCATGCTGAAATAGTCACCACCTCTCTGATCTGGAAATATCTGACAGCTCAAGCCTGGGCTAGGGCACTTTAGGAAACAGAGCAGTTCTACTATTTACTTTTTGAGACAAAATCCTCATAAGTGTAGTTCTGATATTTAATCCTCCAGAAAATTAAAGATAGCAAATAAGAAGAGGAAGGAGGGGCACTGCATATTTGCTATGTAAATAGAGTCAGAAAATATAGGAAGCCATATATTCTTTTCTAGATGCCCAGTTAGTTGTGGAAATTAAACAGGTCTCTCTCCATACATATACTGGTATCTTCCTGCTATACATGTATACTGAATCCAGCAGCTACAGAGGCATGAGTATATCATCTGATAGTGTTCTAATTGATGTTAACAGTAATGACCCCAGCCTGCCAAGCTAACATTAAAGTATATTCAGAATTATTAGTTTAAGAGGGCAGAGGAGTGGATGATACTTCTTACAAAGATTTAAATGTAAAATTTGATAGAGCAAAACAAAATTTTTAAAATGTAAAAAGAGAAATCCTCAATTATTTGGGAATCACAAGATCTGTGTAACTGAGGTTTTCATGGACTAAGGTTTGGTAATTCCCCCCGCTGTCCCCCCCCACCAGTGCATGAATTTCATGCACTGGGCCTCTAGTACAATAATAAACTCTGATTCACATACTCACAACTATAAACTCACTTTTGCCAACACTTATATATGATTTCCTGGCAGTGCCTTAAAATTCGCTCAGGTAATTTAAGACTCTAATTTAGTGATTTTACACAAAAATGGAGCACTTGAAAAATGCAAGTACAATAATAGTTTTATCATTCTCTTTAGCACTAACTTACATGTAGCTGAAATACACAGATGTTAAATGTTACATTTAGATGAGTTTTGACATGTATGCATGAATGTAGCACACAGCAATTAAAATACAAAATGTTTTCATCTTCCCTGAAAGTTTCCTTATACCTCTTGCCAGTCAACATACATACATACATACATACACACACACACACACACACTCACCCTGAGGCAACTATGTTCTGATTTCTTTCGTCAAAAACTAGTTTGCCTTTCTTTTGAATTTTTTGGAATAGTCTGAGAAGGATAGATTTTAGTTCTTCTTTGAATGTTTGGTAAAACTCTCCTGTGAAGCCATCTGGCCCCGGGCTTTTGCTTGCTGGAAGCTTTTTGATGACTGCTTCAATATCCTCCTTAGTTATCGGCTTGAGATTTCTTGATTCTTCTTGATTGAGTTTTGGAAGGTCGTATTTTTTTAGGACTATGTCCATTTCCTCTAGGTTGTTTAGTTTGTTGGAGTAGAGTTGTTCATAATATTTTTTTATAGTCTTTTGGAATTCTGTGGGGTCTGTTGTTATTTTGCGTTTTTCATTTCTGATTTTGTTTATTTGGGTCCTCTCTCTTTGCTTCTTGGTGAGCCTGGCTAGAGGTTCATCAATCTTGTTTATCCTTTCAAAGAACCAACTCTTGATTTCATTGATCTTTTGTATTTTTTTTTAGTCTCTATGTCATTTATTTCTGCTCTGATCTTTATTATCTCCTTCCTTCTGCCCACGCTGGGCTTTTCTTGTTGCTCTCTTTCTAATTCTTTAAGTTATAAAGTTAGATAATTTATTACCAGTTTTTCTTGTTTTTTGAGGTAGGCCTGTAATGCTATGAACTTCCCCTCTCAGGACTGGACCCCGAATAGCTGCGGCAATCTTGAGAAAGAAGAACAAAGTTGGAAGGATCACAGTATCAGATATCAGGCTATACTACAAAGCCACTATTCTCAAAACTGGTTGGTACTGGCACAAGAACACACATATAGATCAATGGAACAGAACAGAGAACCCAGAGATCAACCCAAGCCATTATGCTCAATTAATATTTGACAAAGGAGGCAAGAGCATACAATGGAGTCAAGATAGTCTTCAATAAATGGTGTTGGGAAAATTGGACAGATACATGTGAAAAAATGAAACTAGACCATCAACTTACACCATACACAAAAATAAACTCAAAATGGATAAAGGACTTTAACATAAGATGGGAAACCATAAAAATCTTGGAGGAGTCCTCGGGCATCAAAATCTCAGACATAAGCTGAAGCAATATCTTCACTGATACAGCCCTTAGGGCAATGATGGTGAACCTATGACACGCATGTTAGAGGTGACACGCGAACTCATTTTTTTGGTTGTTTTTTCTTTGTTAAATGGCATTTAAATATATAAAATAAATATCAAAAATATAAATCTTTGTTTTACTATGGTTGCAAATATGAAAAAATTTCTATATGTGACACGGCACCAGAGTTAAGTTAGGGTTTTTCAAAATGCTGACACACCGAGCTCAAAAGGTTCGCCATCACTGCCTTAGGTCAATGAAAACTAAGGAGAAAATAAACAAATGGGACTACATCAAAATAAAAAGCTTCTGCACAGCAAAAGAAACCATCAACAAAACAACAAGAAAGCCCACTGTATGGGAGAACGTATTTGCCAGTGTTATCTCTGATAAGGGTTTGATCTCCAACATTTACAGGAAACTCATACAACCTAACGAAAGGAAGATAAACAATCCAATAAAAAAATGGGCAAAGGACCTAAATAGACACTTTTCAAAAGAGGACATTCAGAAAGCCAAGAGACATAGGAAAACATGCTCAAAGTCACTAATCATCAGAGAAATGCAAATCAAAACAACAATGAGGTACCATCTCACACCTGTCAGAATGGCTATCATCAATAAATCCACAAACAACAAGTGCTGGAGAAGATGTGGAGGAAAAGGAACCCTCCTTCACTGCTGGTGGGAATGCAGACTGGTGCAGCCATTGTGGAGAACAGTATGGCATTTCCTCAAAAAACTAAAAATGGAACTCCCGTTTGACTGAGTAATCCCACTTCTAGGACTATATCCCAAGAAAACAGAAACACCAATCAGAAAGGATATATGCACCCCTGTGTTCATAGCAGCACAATTTACAATAGCTAAGATTTGGAAACAGCTCAAGTGCCCAGCAGCAGATGATTGGATTAGAAAACTGTGGTACATCTACACAGTGGAATACTATTTTGCTGTAAAAAAGAAGGAATTCTTACCATTTGCAACAGCGTGGATGGAACTGGAAAGCATTATGCTAAGCAAAATAAGCCAGTCGGAGAAAGATAAATATCACATGGTCTCTTTTGTGGAATATAATGAACAATATAAACTGATGGAAAAAAAAAAGTAGAATCAGAGTCATAGAAGCATCAAACATACTGTCCAACCTATGAGGGAAGGCAGGGGTGGGGGTGGTGAGGGGGTAAAAGATCAACCAAAGGACTTGTATGCATGCATCTGAACATAATCAATGGACACAGACCTGGGTGGGGTGGGGTGGGGTGAGGGCATGTGCTGGGGAGTGGGGGTGGCCAGGGAGTGGTCAATGGGGGTAAAAGGAGACTTAGGTAATACTTTAAACAATAGAGAATTCAAATTAAAAAGAAAAAACAGAACTAGTTTGCCTGTTCCAGAACTTCATTGTATGTGCATATCACAGTTTGTTTATCCATTCCCTTATTGATGGATGGATGGTTGTTTTCAGTTTTTGGCTATAAAAAATAAAGCTGCTGTGTACATTTTTATACAATTTTTTTTAATGGATATGTGTTTCTGTTTTTAGTGGGTAGATTTGATGGGTTAGGGCAGATTTGCTTAATGTTATCAGAAACTCCCAAACTGCTTTAAAGTTGGGCCATTTTACATGATTACTTTCACTTATTCTGCATCCTTACCAACATTTAGTATTTGTCAATGTTTTAATATTAGCCATTCTGGTGGGTGTATAATGGTATCTTATTGTGATTGTAGTTTCCTGTTTCTCGATGCCTGTTGATACTCAGCACTTTTTTAATATTCTTAATGGTCATATGTATACCTTACTTTGTGAAATGTCTAGGCCAGTTTTTCTCATTTTTAAATTGGGTTATTTGTATTTCTATTAACAAATTATAGGGGTCAATTGTAGAACTTGGACCACAAGTCCTTTGTTAGATATGTGTTTTGCTAACATTTTCTCCCAGTCTTTTGACTTGCTTATTGATTTTCTTAATATCATTAGAAAATCAGAATTTTGATGTTAAGTGTAAGTTATTAAATTTTTTTATAGTTATTGTTTTTTGTATTCTAAGATATCTTTGTTTACTCTCATATTATGCAGGTATTCTCCTTCTAGAATGTTTTCCCAGAAGCTATATATTTATAGTTTTAATTTTTATGTATAGATCTATGATCATCTCCAGTGTTTTTTTGTGTATGGTATGAGGAAAAGGTCTAAGTTCATTTTCCTCCAGATATCCAATTTTTCTACTGCAATTTACTGAAAAGATTTTCTTTTCCTCTGACTTGTTTTAGATTTTGTTGAAATTTGGTTGGTAAGTAAGTGTGGGTTTATTTTTGGACTCTATTCTCTTCTGTGATCTGTTTATCCTTATGCCAGCCTTCATTACCTTGGCTTTAGAGTAAGTTTTGAAATAAGTTTGCCAGTCTTCCAACTTTTTTATTCTTTCCCCATATTGTTTTAGCTATCCTAGGTTCTTTGTACTTAAATATAAATTTTAGAAACAACTTGTTAGTGCTATAAAATATCTGCTTGTATTTTAATTGGAATAGCAAATAAATCTATAGATCAGTTTGAGAAAAACTGGCATTATTAACAATATTGAGTCTTCTAATCCATAAGATGGTATATATTGCTACGTATTTTAATTTTTCTCAATGACATTTTGTAGTGTGCAAGGTAGAGGTCTTATACATCTTTTGTTAAATTTATCCATATTTTTCTGGTTTTTTTTTGAGGCTATTGTAAATGGTTTATTGTTTTAAAATTTTATTTACAATTGTGTGTTACAAATGTAGTGATTTTTGTATTATTGACCTTGTATTTTGACAGTTATTATTTCTGATGGGTTTTGGGTAGTTTAAAAGTATTTCGTATATATACAATTACGCCTTCCTTTTCTTGTATGGCTTACCTATTTCTTTTTTCTTGCCTGTTACACTGTCTGGGACCTCTGATACAGTGTGGACAGAGGTGGTGAGAGCAGACACCTTTGCCTGGTTTCCCATCTAGAGGAGAAAGCATTTAGTCTTTTACCTTTCAATATCATGTTAGCTGCAGGTTTTCCCATGGACTGTTTCTCATGGTTTTCCAGGTTGAGGAAGTTTTCTTTTGTAGTGTGATTAACTTAACCTTTGTTAAATATTTTCTAATTGTCAATAACTTGCATTACAGTGAAATGAAATTAACAATATAAACTTTTTTTTTGCCTTTGAGAGGCCACTAAATCAGTGGATTGTAATATGTGCTGCTTCAGAGTCTTTATTTTTTTTTTTTAGCACTGAAACCACCTTGCCTTGATATTGTTTTTTAAAAAATATATTTTTATTGATTTCAGAGAGGAAGGAAAAGGAAGAGAGAAATAGAAACATTAATGGTGAGATGGAATCATTGCTCGGCTGTCTCCTGCACAGCCCCCACTGGGGACCGAGCCCACAACCCGGGCATATCCCTTGACCGGAATCAAACCCAGGACCCTTGAGTCTGCAGGCTCAGGCTCTATCCACTGAGCCAAACTGGCCAGGGCTCCTTGATATTGTTAATACTACATTTGATAGTACTACATTTAAAATACATTGGCACTGCATTTTGCAGCATTTGTCATTTTAAAAATAAGTAAATAATCATCATCTCTTGCTAGATATGATTTTTTCAAAGCACTAGTTAAATATTCATATAGAATTGGGTTTAGGTAGTAGTATCGATGAATGTTACCCTTAATTTAAATATATTAGAAGACTAATCATTTTCCCCCTGCAATTTGGTCATAAATTTTATAGCTTTCATGTGAAGCTTATGTCAACAAGGGATTGCAAGGAACTATGTGTAGTCTGAATTTCACAGAAACTGGTTATTAGTGTTTTTCTGTCATCTTATAGACTCTTAAGCTTTTTTATATGATTTATATTAAAATGATATTGAATATTTATTTGTTCAACTCCTATTCTATACCCAACTCTGTAGTGTAGACACTTGAGATATAATGAGGAACAAAATGTTGCTTCTACCATGGGGCTGGCAATCTAGTCAGGAAGATTCCTCTGGATGAAAGAGATCATTATAACTATGGTAAGTGTGGAATCTGGTGTAGTCTGGGAATTCATGGAAGATTTCTCTGAGGAGATAGTATTTGAACTGAAAGCAAAGAGTACATCAGAATTAACTAAGAGAAGTGTGATGGCATAGTAAGCAGCAGGTACAGATAACCTAGGCAGCAGGGAACATAGCACATATATGTGGGACTGGGGGAGGGTGGAGTGATGGGGGAAACAGAGCCAGTTTAGCTAATCCTAAACAATATAGAAGAGAGAAGTAAGATTGGCTAGATATATGGAGGCTGGATTTTATAGGGCCTGTTCGGTCTTTATCTCTAAGGGCAGTGTCAAACCACTGAAGTAATTTAAACAGAAGAGTGGTACAATCTGGTTTGCATTTTGGAAAGAATATTCTTTCTGTTTTGTGCATAATGGATTGAAAAGAGGCTACATAAAATTCAGGAAGCCACTACAGTAGTCCGCACACAAGATGATGCTAGCTTACTTAGTGTAGTGACAGTGATGATGGAGAAAAGTTAACCAATGGGAGTAGTAGTAGAAGAAATAGTTAAAATCTGAATGTATACATCATTGGTACATTTAATAAATATATTTTAAAACCTTTTACTTATTCTATATTTGTTTACTTTTTAATATATATATTAGTTGTGTAGTTCTCCTTGATAGTCATTGCCTACTTCTATTTACCTTTTTGCTTTACTGTTGAGAGCCTATTGAGTAATTGCTTAGATGTTTAATAACAAAATATTGATACATAAAAGAATATATAAAACATCTTTAAGGTATAAATAAAAAACAAAATACCTGTGATGTATCATCTCATATAGTTATAGAGTTTTAGCTGTTAGAAGTAATTCTGGAGAAATCCCAGGCAGGCAGGCAGGTGAGCAATTAGGAGCCAGAGGTCCTCTTAGAGATTTTCTGACTAGCATCCATTAGTTGAAAGAAGAGGAAGGGTAATGACTGTATTAAGAGTGGCAATAATCAAACACCTAATGACCCTGCAAATGAAGAGAATTATGCCTAATGTAAAAACAAAGAATGCTTAATGTAATGAGCTATGTAGATATATGATAATAATACTCTTGTTATTAGAGCTTCACATTGTAAATTAGTCCCTATATAATCAGATCTGAGAAAAGGATGGGAAGGAAGAAAAGTGAGGGACTAGTAGAAACAGCCAGTCTCTAAAAAGAAGAAAATTGTCTTGTTAGAACTACTGAAACTTTGGTGGAAGGATAGAAGGAAGCTTAATGGGTCAAAGGCACTGCTCCTTGAACTTTCCTTCTCATATACCTTTGAAAGCATGTACAGTTACATGTTATTTACAGCATTCTTACATTCAGATCCCTGCCTGTGATTTTTTGGGAAATAAATGTGCTTTAGTGGTCTACTATTTGAATTTCCATAAATGAGATTTTTTTTTTGCCATGTACCTGATTTTAGAAAATTATAATTCAAAACTGTCTTTAAAATGTGTAAAATCAAAGGGACACATATGTAATACCCTTTGTAATACTGTAAGCAATAAAAATAAATAAAAAAATGTGTAAAATCTATACTTGAAAAATCATTTGTTTAGATGCTTTTTATTTTTCAATGGTTTTGTAATAAAACATTATTTGACTTTTCTTTGTATGGAATGTGGGCTCTTTCTACATTTATGAATATTTATCTAATGTAATTTTAATTTTAATTTAATTTTATTTTTTATCTTTATTGTTCAGATTATTACATTTGTCTTTCTTTTTTCCCCCTCATAACTCCCCTCCTTCCAGTTCCCACCCCACCCTCCGCCCTCACTCGCCACCCACCCACTGTCCTCATCCATAGGTGCACGATTTTTGTCCAGTCTCTTCCCGCATCTCCCACACCCCTTTCCCCCCCAAGAATAGTCAGTCCAGTCCCTTTCTATGTCCCTGATTCTATTATAATCAACAGTTCATTTTGTTCATCAGATTATTTATTCACTTGATTCTTAGATTCACTTGTTGATAGATGCATATTTGTTGTTCATAATTTGTATCTTTACCTTTCTCTTCTTCTTCCTCTTCTTAAAGGATACCTTTCAGCATTTCATATAATACTGGTTTGGTGGTGATGAACTCCTTTAGCTTTTTTTATCTGTGAAGCTCTTTATCTGACCTTCAATTCTGAATGATAGCTTTGCTGGATAAAGTAATCTTGGTCGTAGGTTCTTGGTATTCATCACTTAGAATATTTCTTGCCACTCCCTTCTGGCCTGCAAAGTTTCTGTTGAGAAATCCGCTGACAGTCGTATGGTTACCCTCTTGTAGGTAACTGAGTTTCTTTCTCTTGCTGCTTTTAAGATTCTCTCTTTGTCTTTTGCTCTTGGCATTTTAATTATGATGTGTCTTGGTGTGGTCCTCTTTGGGTTCCTTTTGTTTGGGGTTCTCTGCACTTCCTGGACTTGTAAGTCTATTTCTTTGACCAGGTGGGGGAAGTTTTCTGTCATTATTTCTTCAAATAGGTTTTCTTTTCTTTTTTTTTTTTTTAATATATTTTTTATTGATTAAGATATTACATATGTGTCCTTGTCCCCACGTTACCCTCTACCCACCCCCCGCCCCCCGCTCATGCCCTCACCCCCCCGTTGTCCATGTCCATTGATTAGGCCTATATGCTTGCATATAAGTCCTTTGGTTGATCTTTCCCCCTTACCCCCACCCTCCCCTACCTTCCCTCCAAGTCCCGACAGTCCAATCAATGCCTCTCCGTCTCTGGATCAGTCCTTGTTCATCAGCTTATGTTGTTCATTATATTCCACAAATGAGTGAGATCATGTGGTATTTATCCGCTCTCCAGTTCCATCCATGCTGTGGCAAATGGTAAGAGTTCCTTTTTCTTCTTCCTCTTCTTAAAGAATACCTTTCAGCATTTCATATAATGCTGGTTTGGTGGTGATGAACTCCTTTAGCTTTTTCTTATCCGTGAAGCTCTTTATCTGACCTTCTATTCTGAATGATAGCTTTGCTGGATAAAGTAATCTTGGTTGCAGGTTCTTGCTATTCATCACTTTGAATATTTCTTGCCACTCTCTTCTGGCCTGCATGGTTTCTGTTGAGAAATCAGCTGACAGTCGTATGGGTACTCCCTTGTAGGTAACTGACTGTCTTTCTCTTGCTGCTTTTAAGATTCTCTCTTTGTCTTTTGCTCTTGGCATTTTAATTATGATGTGTCTTGGTGTGGTCCTCTTTGGATTCCTTTTGTTTGGGGTTCTCTGCGCTTCCTGGACTTGTAAGTCCATTTCTTTCACCAGGTAGGGGAAGTTTTCTGTCATTATTTCTTCAAAAAGGTTTTCAATATCTTGCCCTCTCTCTCCTTCTGGTACCCCTATAATTCTGATGTTGGTACGCTTGAAGTTGTCCCAGAGGTTCCTTACACTATCTTCATATTTTTGGAATCTTTTTTCTTTTTTCTTTTTCGGTTGGGTATTTTTTGTTTCTTTGTATTTCAAATCTTTGACTTGATTCTTGGGATCCTCTTGTCTGCTGCTGGATCTCTGTAAATTATTCTTTATTTCAGTCAGTGTATGCTTAATTTCTAGTTGGTCCTTTTTCATGTCCTCCATGGTCTCACTATACTTATTGAGGGATTCATTAAATTTATCGGCGGTTTCCATAAAATTCTTGAAAAACCTTATAAACGTGGCCTTGAACTCTATATCCAATCGTTTGCTTTCCTCCATTTCTGCCATTTGTGACCTGTTTCTTTGTCTCCGCATTTTGGCAGCTTCCCTGTGTTGATAGAGTGGCCCTGCGCGTCAGGTGTCCTGTAGGGCCCAGTAGCTCAGCCTCCCCAGTTACCTGGGGTGGACACTCTTGGTGCCTTGGTTGTTGTAGAATCACTGGGAGGAATTGACCTCCAGGCCAATTGGCTGTGAGAATCAGCTGTGTCTAAAGTAGGAGAACTTCTGTGCTGAAGACACCCTTCTGGGGCAAGACTTGCTTCAGTGGGGCTTTGGTGCTCACTGAGTCTGCTCCCTGAGTGTGTCCCTTATGGATCTGAGGAGTTGCAGTCTGGATGGTCCCCCTCTGACCACTGGGTACAGTGGCTCCTGGATCTAAGGAGGTGCTAATTCAGCCTCTGCCTGAGGCCACACAGCAGGAGCCACGAAGAGGCTCAGCTGTGAAGCAATGCAAGCCGCTGCGGGGCCTTGGGCCTTCTCTTGGAAGTTCCGGGTCTGCCTGGTTCGGCTGCAGTTAGGTACATTCACATGCAAAAGCCTCTGCCGCAGCCTGGGTGGGGCGGGGTCTCAGGGAATCAAAGGGCGGATCAAGGAGCTATGGCTGATTCTCCGCCCGGAGTCGCGGGTCTCAGTGACCCGCTAATTGCTGCAAGCACCTCTGAGGGAAAGCCGCCTTCAAGTTCGCCCGCTGCCGGACAGACCAGCTTCTCCCCGTATGAGTCCTGGGTCCCCAGAGTCTTCCCGGAACCGGAGTTCAGAGCAGTCGGGAGCTTGTGATTCAAAAAGACAGCCGTGTCCTCAGGTGCCACCCCCTTTATTTGCTCGCGGGCGAGCCGGCCGTACCTCTGCACTTGTACCTCTGCACTTCACCTCTGCAGCTCCTCTGGCTCTCAGCGTGCTTTTCTTTCCTTCTAGTTGTAGAATTTACACTCAGCCAGCCTTTCTGTTGTTCTGGATGATGTTTGCTCTGTCCTTTGCGGTAATTTTCAATTGTTGTGTGAGGCGACAATTTCCCGGTGTTTACCTATGCCGCCATCTTAGTTTCCCCTCCAAATAGGTTTTCAATATCTTGCTCTCTCTCATCTTCTGGCACCCCTATAATTCTGATGTTGGTACGCTTGAAGCTGTCCCAGAGGCTCCTTACGCTATCTTCGTATTTTCGGATTCTTTTTTCATTTTGCTTTTCCAGTTGGGTGTTTTTTGCTTCTTCGCATTTCAAATCTTTGACTTGATTCTTGTGCTCCTCTGGTCTGCTGTTGGGAGTCTGTATAGTATTCTTTATTTCAGTCAGTGTATGCTTAATTTCTAGTTGGTTCTTTATCATAACATCGAGGGTCTCATTAGATTTCTTGTAGATCTCATTAAGTTTATCGGCGGCTTCTAGACAGCTCTTGAGAGACCTTAAAAGTGTGGTTCTGAACTCCATATCTCCCATTGACAATTTTGTCCTGTTTCTTTGTCTCCGCATTTTTTTTAATTCTTTCTTGGTGCACCCCCTAGTGGTCTTTGTGCGCAGTCTTGTTGTAGTTAAGCCTTGATTGTTGTAGTTAATACTGGGGGGATTTGACCTCCAGGCCAACTGGCTGTGAGAGTTAGCTGTCTTAATTTTTAATATTATTGTAAAATGTTAGTTAAATCCAATTTTGTATGATTTTAATACTTTTAGGCATTTCTAAAATCAAAATTCTGCCCTAACTGGTTTGGCTCAGTGGATAGAAAGTCAGCCTGTGGACTGAAGGGTCCTGGGTTCGATTCTGGTCAAGGGCACATGCCTGAGTTGCGGGCTTGATCCCCAGTGGGGGGCATGCAGGAGGCAGCCAATCGGTGATTCTCTCCAATCATTGATGTTTCTGTCTCTCCCCTCTCGGAAATCAATAAAAATATTTTTTAAAAAGTCAAAATGCTTTCCTATAAAATAGAACTTTTCTAGCCTTTTAAAAAATTGGCATAAGATTGAAATATAATATCCTATTAGTTTCAGGTATACATCATAGTGATATGATATATATTCCTATATAATAAAGAGGTAATATGCAAATTAACCCTCACACCCTCAGAAGATGGCAGCCTACGACCAGGCTGGCAGGGGGGTTAGTTAGGGACGACCAAACGACTGAACAAGGAGGCTGCATGGGGCAACCAGGCCGGTGGGGGCGGGGGGCAGTGAGAGGTGACCAGGCTGGCAGGGGTGGCAGTTGGGGGCAACCAGGCCAGCAGGGGGGTCAGTTGGGGGTGACCACCAGACTGGTGTGAGGGGCAGTTAGGGGTGACCAAGCCGGCAGGGGGGTGCAGTTTGGGGCAACCAGGCCAGCAGGGGAGGGCAGTTGGGGGCTATTAGGCTGACAGGGAGGTAGTGAGGGGCAACTAGGCCAGTGGGGGGGCAGTTGGGAGTGACTAGGCCAGTGGGGGGCAGTTAGGTGTGACCAGGCCTGCAGAGAGGGACAGTTGGGGGTGATCAGGCTGTCAGGGGGCAATTAGGGGCAATCAGGCTGGCATGCAGAGGCAGTGTGGGGCGATCAGGCCAGTGGGGGAGGCAGTTAGGGGTGACCAGGCAGGCAGGCAGGTGAGCGATTAGGAGCCAAAGGTCTAGGATTGTGAGAGGGATGTCCAACTGCCGGTTTAGGCCCAATCCCAGGGATCAGGCCTAAACTAGAAGTCGGACATCCCCCGAGGAGTCCCAGATTGGAGAGGATGCAGAGGGTACAGGCTGGGCTGAGGGGACCCCCCTCCCCAAGCACAAATTTCATGCACGGGGCCTCTAGTGTGTGTGTGTGTGTGTGTGTGTGTGTGTGTGTGTGTGTGTGTATACATATATATATATATATATATATATATATTTAAAAATAATCCCCACATTAAGACTACTTACCATCTATCATTATATAAAGTTATGACAATATTATTGACTCTATGATCTATGCTGTACATTACATCTTTATGACTTATTTATCTTATAACTGGAAGTTTATACCTCATAATTCCCTCCCCTAGTTTCACCTGCCCCCCAACCCATCCCCTCTGGTAACCAACAGTTTGTTTCTTATACCTATGAATCTGTTTCTGTTTTATTTGTTTTGTTTTTTAGATTCCACATATAATTGAAATCATATGATATTTATCTTTCTCTGTCTGACATATTTCACTTAGCATAATACCCTCTAAGTCTATTCATGTTGTTACCAATGGTAAGATTTCATTTTTTATGGCTGAATAGTATTCTATTATATATTCACTGAGTGGCCAGATTATTATGACCACCCCTCAGTACTTCGTTGGGCCACCTTTTGCCTTCAATACTGTGGCGATTCTTCTTGGCATTGACTCCACGAGATGTTGAAAGGTGATGTGAGGAGTCTGACACTATGCCTGATGAATAGCACTGTCCAGTTCTGTGACATTTGATGGTTGTGGAACCAGCTGCCTGATGGCTCTTTTAACTTTGTCCCACAAATGCTCAATTGGATTGAGATCTGGTGATTGTGGGGGCCACCTAAGCAAGGTAAAGTCTCCCTCATGTTCTTGAAATCACTTCTGCACAATACGAGCACTGTGGCATGGTGCATTGTCTTGTTGGAAGAAGCCATCTCCATTGGGATACACCATCAACATGATAGGATGAACTTGATCAGCAGTGATACTTAGGTATGTTGTGCTATTCAAACGTTGTTCCACATGAATTAAAGGGCCCAAATCTGCCGGGGTCCAACCCCAGCAGGTCCAGGGGTCCCCAAAGGTGTGGACAGAGTCGGCGAAGAAGGAATGACACGGAGACAGTGTTCAGTTGATCAGCAGCCTAGCCAGGATCTCCAGCCAGGATCTCCAGCCAAGTTCTGGTCTGGATCTCCAGAGAGGTTCTGCTTAGGATCTCCTGCCAGGGTCTGTGTCCATGTTCTCTTGCTAGGTTCTCCAGGTTCTCCAGCCAGGTTCTGTAGCCATGTTCCCTCGCTAGGTTCTCCAGCCAGGTTCTGTCCAGGTTCTCCAGCCAGGTTCAGTCACCAAGTTCTAGTCAGGTTCTCTTGCCATGTTCTATAGTCAGGTTCAGTCGAGGATCTTTTGCCATGTTCTCTCCAGCGAAGTTCTTCTGTCTCTAGAGAACGTTCTGTGTAGGTTCTGTGCCTAAGTTCCGTCTCTCCTCGTTCTGTCTTCTTACACCTGTATTTATACCAGTTGATTCCAATCCTATCAATCTCTATTTCAAAGGTTAGGGCGTTTCTTATCTCCATTCCAGGGAGTAAAGATTATGTAGCTTAAGCATGATTGTTCGTAGTTAAAGTGATTAATTACCCACCTGGCACTTAGTTAAGAGGTTTTATTCCCTCCCTAACTTCAGGGGAAAATCCCTACCTGGGGAAACAACCTTTCTCAGAGACCTTGGTTAAAACACATAGTGCCAAGAAGGTGAGCAAACATATTAAGAACAGTATGCCATATATGCCAGGTCCCTTGAAACAGCAAGCATGGACCGGCTCCTGGCACAAATCATGCCAGGAAAACGTGCCCCAAACCATAACACTGCCCCCACTAGCTTGAAGGGTTGTACTCATGCATGTGGGGTGCATGCTTTCACACTGTTTCTTCCAAATTCTCACACTGCCTTCTGCATGATGCAACTGGAAACGTGATTCATCGGACCACATGACTTTTTTTCCAATGCTCGACTGTCTAATCTTTGTGTTCCTGTGTGAATTGGAGACGTTTTGTCTTGGTAACTGCAGACAGCAAAGGTGTTCGAACAGGCCTTCGGCTTCCATATCCCATATGATGCAGTGTACGTCTAATTTGCCTACAAACGTCAGGTGGTCATAATAATCAGGCCACTCAGTGTGTGTGTGTGTGTGTGTGTGTGTGTGTGTGTGTGTGTGAAATCCCATATTCAAAGGATGTTAAATCATGTTGTTTACCCATATCTTCAGAAAAAAATCACTTCTGTTGTGGTAAACAACCTGCTTCCCTATTTATAATGGTCTGGCCCTCTAGCAACTTCAGTGCGAAATTATAGTTAATTTGCCTACAAACGTCAGGTAGTCATAATAATCTGGCCACCCAGTATATATATATATATCACATACTATTATTCATTCATCTATCATGGACATTTGGGTTGCTTCCATATGTTGGCTATTGTAAATAATGCGGCAGTGAACATAGGGGTGCCTGTATCTCTTTGAATTTTTATTTTCTTCGGATGCACCCCTATGTTCACTGCAGCATTATTTACATTAGCCTTTTTATATTAAATTTAAATATTTACTTTCAAACCTCAACATGGTTCTCATTCTAAGATTGTTATTCTAACTTGTTTATAAATTTTTCTGGTAATGAAAAATGCACTTCCATTCTCTTTACCTAAACCCTTAAAAATTTTAGCAATAATAGGTCTTCCTGAAAGGCAGATCAACATAAAGGAAAGAATAGGGCCTCTGTTCTTTACAAATTGTTGTTTGAAATCCAAAAGAATTCTTCTTAGACATTTCCTGACTGGCAGCCATTGGTGGAAAGGAGAAAAAAAAAAGGATGGGGTTCATAAATACCATGTTAATAATGACAGTTTTGACCCATTTCAATCCTAGGTTCATGACTCTGTAATAGGCAAGTTATCATACCTTCTCTAGAACCCTTTCTCTTCTCTTGGGAAATGATAATGATGGTACCTACTTCATAGAAAGTTAGGTTTTTATAAGCACATAGCGTAGTGATTGGCACATAGAATGTACTCAACAAATGTTAGTTCTTTTCCATTTTCATCTTTTTATTTAAATCATTATCTAAGGATCCCCCCCCCCCCCTTGATTTTTAGAGAGAGTGAAAGGGAGGGAAGAGGAGGAGGAGAGAGAGAAACATTGATGCGAGAGAGACACATCAACTGGTTGTCGCCTGCACATGCCCCAAGGTTCATGCCCTTGCCCGGGAATTGAACCTGCAATCCTTCAGTCTGTGGCCCAATGCTCTAACCACTGAGAAGCCCTTCAGGTTCCATTTTCATCTTAATTTCCCTAACTTAATTCTGAAATATTGGTAAATTATTCTAAATCACTTTTAAGAAAAGTGCTGACCCCATAAGAATTATGCTTAAAATAGTGAATGTTTGTTGATAGTAACTCAAAATAAATGAAAATGTTTTTAACCTTCATCAAATAAATGAGCTAAATTTTCTTTCTTTGAACATGGGTATGGGTAACTCAGGTACTGTATGACAAGTTCTTTGACTCGTTGAATCTTTTTCATGTTAGGGTGAAAAGTGGATTAAGCAAACATTCTGCTTATTTTTAATACCTACTCTTCTGAGGTCATATTTGACCTTAAGTATTTTCCCAAATTGATTTCAGTGTACAGGTGTTAGCTCCAAGGCTTTGTTTGTACAGTTAACTACATCAAATTCAGCAGGTTAGTGTGGGTGTGGCGGGGGTTTGAGAGATTAGGGATTTCTAACTTCTGTTAATCAAAATATAACTATATTTTAGAGAATAAAAATAGTAACTATAGCACTTGAGTTCATGAAGACTTAGCTGATTTTTAATAATTAATAAGTTTTTTCTGCCAATGAGCATTAAATTACTGCTGACTTTTTAGTGTCATAGTACCTTGTGGTAGTTTTTCTGCAGGGTTTAAAGGTGTATTCCAGTTTTGTTTTATTTTTCCTGTCCTGTCCAGAGGAAATAATCTTTACAAATGATACAGGGAGACTATTTCTAGACGTCCATACATGCCATTAATATGTTATAAGGATCGGTCAGTCCCATTGTCTTCTTTTGTCAATCTTGATCGGAGCTTGCCGAGTAAGTCTATAAGCCTGCATGTGCCTGGCAACTGTTACCTAGTGACAGTTTCAGCTGCTGTAGCCATTGGCTGTGCTGTTGATTGGGGCAGGAGGACCGAGTCACCTTTCTGATGGTGAGTTCTTCTGCATCAGCTCAGGATGAGGAGGAGGAGCCCGGCTCCAGCTCAGGTGGAGGCAGTGATGCCGAGCGATTGTGAAGAATATCCTGACAGCATCCTGGAAGCTGCATCACAGTGAGTCGGACTTCTGAATCGAGCAGCTCATAACAGTGAATGTATGTGAGGAGCACTGCCTTATTCCTGTAACAAGAGAACTATTTTGTGACAAGTGAAGCTGGGAATGTGAAAGGAGGAATATCCTGTGGCTGTTTTAAAAGAAGAAGGACTTCCCTGCATGACTTGGTGATGCACGAGAAAATAACTTTCAGAAGAGTGCCGCTGCATTGTTCCTGAGGAAGTCTGTGTTTTTAACCTATGGCATTTCTTCAAAAGGTGTGACAACAAAGGCTGACAAGCGACTCTCCGAAATGCCTATACTTTAAAAAAGACTTTTGACAATGTTAACCTTGTATCAGGACGACCTTGGAAGCCTGTTGGGTGGATTCATTCCTGCATTAATCCTTTCAATATTTCAGACTCTAGGATTTAAACTCATCTTGATGTGTTAGAGGTATTTTAAAACAAAATCATTTTACAACCTACCCAATGGCCCCTATGCTAATTGAGTACTTGCTCAAAATAGAATGCAGAAATAGAAGAGACATTTAAAAAAACATATGGCTGCTATATAACTGCAAAAAAATGCAAACAAGGTAAATTTCTACTTTCAGAAGATTTAGTTCAAGTTTCTTTATTGTGTTAATCATCTAATGAAAATAGAAAAGGCAGAGAAGTATAGGTTATGCTGTCTACTAGAAATACCTAAGTAGTAAATAATGGCAGCATTTCTAGTCAGATAAGCTCAGAGTAGATAGGAAAGTTTCCATTATTGTCTAAATTTCATGTAAATTCACAGATATATTTGAAACATAGGTGTGGTTGCAAGGTGAGCAATAACTTTGAGCTGTATATTTTATGGTCATGCTTCATTTTAAGGAAGGTGGCATATCAGACAATGAAAGTTAATGATGCTGAAATTAATAGCAAAATAATGTATTTTTCTTTTGAAAAGGAAGAAGTATAAATTACATTGTTGATGGTAGCACCAGTAACTGTAATATACTAAAACTGTTTTTTTTTTTTTTCTGAGCACTTAAAAAATGCATGCAGAATGAAAAGTTTGTCATATTTTGTCAGGTGTTAATCCATTACCTATTATCTTCCTACTGGAAATATGTATTGTTTTGTTTTGTTTTTCGCATGAAAGCTATATGGCAATCTGGAGTCTGTTACCTCTGTTCTACTCCTTTGTGCCCAAATACAGATGAATCTTTTGGAATTAGCCTTTTCCAGAAAGAGGGTAGTGGTGGCAGTTCTTAGCTTCTTAAAGAAATGAGAGAGAAATGGACCATAAAGTTGACCCACCAGCATCAAACCCTCAACTGAGCCCCAAAACACTCTTTGTCACAATGAACTCTTTCTTAGCTTTCCAACCAAATCTGAGATCTTAATTATTTAAATTCTAAAATATGAATCCACTTCTTATGTTAGATGAAACAGGAATCCTGAGACAATTTCAGACTTTTTCTTTTCTCATTCTTTCTAGTTGATCCTTAAGAAACAGCCTCTCTGAGGAGGACAAACAACCCACAGAAGCTTTTCTTCTCTTGGCAATTGCTTTTTTTCTTTTTGCAGCTTTAATTTTTTATTGTGCAAGGTGATAAATCCATTTTCCCTAGAAGTGCCTTGTGTCTGCAAAAAGTTGTTTGAGACCACCAGAGGATGCTAATGGTGACCTTTCTCCACCTCTGCTATAGCTTATTCTCCTCCCTCTCCCCTTAAAACTGAGGTGTGTCACTGCTCACTGAGGCTGATGAAGAGACTTGAGTCCTTTCTGGGATGCTCAGCTGTGACAGAAGCACTGCCACCATCTCCTGAAGCTGATTCTGAGACTCTCAGGTGCAGAGTTTAACAGATGCTGGCAGGGCACCGGCTTGCTGTAGCCCAGGCTGCAGGTTCCCTCAATTCCAAGCCATGAACGAATCCAGGTGGACTGAATGGAGGATCCTAAACCTGAGCAGTGGCCCTGTGAATGTGTCTGAGCGTCACTCCTGCCCACTAGGATTTGGCCACTACAGTGCAGTGGACATCTGCGTCTTTGAGACAGTTGTTATTGTCCTGCTGACATTTCTGATCATTGCTGGGAATTTAACAGTCATCTTTGTCTTTCACTGTGCTCCACTCTTACACCATTATACCACCAGCTACTTCATCCAGACGATGGCATATGCTGATCTTTTCGTTGGAGTTAGCTGCTTGGTTCCTACTCTCTCGCTTCTCCACTACTCCACAGGTATCCACGAGTCACTGACTTGCCAGGTTTTTGGATATATTATCTCTGTTCTCAAAAGTGTTTCTATGGCATGTCTTGCTTGCATAAGTGTGGATCGTTATCTTGCAATCACCAAGCCTCTCTCCTACAATCAACTGGTCACCCCTTGTCGGCTGAGAATTTGCATTATTCTAATCTGGATCTACTCCTGCCTAATTTTCTTGCCTTCTTTCTTTGGCTGGGGGAAACCTGGTTACCACGGTGACATTTTTGAATGGTGTGCCACCTCTTGGCTCACCAGTGCCTATTTTACAGGCTTTATTGTTTGTTTACTTTATGCTCCTGCTGCCTTTGTTGTCTGCTTCACTTACTTCCACATTTTCAAAATTTGCCGGCAGCACACCAAAGAGATACATGACCGGAGGGCCCGGTTCCCGAGCAATGAGGTGGATGCCTCTGGAGAGACTGGACACAGCCCCGACCGTCGCTATGCCATGGTCCTGTTTCGGATAACCAGCGTATTTTACATGCTGTGGCTCCCCTATATTATTTACTTTCTTTTGGAAAGCTCCCGGGTCTTAGACAATCCAACACTGTCCTTCCTAACAACCTGGCTTGCTATAAGTAATAGTTTTTGTAACTGTGTAATATACAGCCTTTCCAACAGTGTTTTCCGGCTAGGCCTCCGAAGGCTTTCCGAGACAATGTGCACGTCTTGTATGTGTCTGAAGGAGCAGGACACACGAGACCCCAAGCCCAGGAAACGGGCCAATTCCTGCTCCATTTGAAGAGAACTGCCCAGTAAATCAAGTGTAATGGATAGTGGTTTGTGTTCATAGTCTTGATTCATCTGGAAATTTGCCACTAGAGAAATATTTACTTGAATAGTAATATGAGATGAAGGGACTAAAGGTTTCATTTTTTTCTCTTTTTTCATGGAGGAAAAAACTAAAGGAAAGGATGTATAGAGAGTAATCTCATGAGATAAATATAGCATGTGAGTATCAATGTGCAGTAGTGGGAAAAATTAAGCACTGAGGATGACAAAAGTAAGCCAGATACTCCAGAGGATGCGAGCCAAGCCCCTCGGTGTCTTTCTCTCTGATTGAACTCTGTCCTCTGTCTTTGTCTCTGATTCTTGTCTCTTTACTCTCATTGTGTTTGTGGAAATTACTTGCATCGATTTTCCTCTATAGAAAATTGCTACATATTATATATGTGGCAAAGTATAATCTTTGGCATCAAAGTGTACTTTTAAACACACTGATCTGAAATCCGTAAGTGGTCTCTCATGGATGTATAGTAAGCATTGTATGTTAGTACCTGCCACACAACCCTTTTTGCTTGTGTTTTTATAATCTCCACAGCACACATTTTCTGCCATGAGCAAAAAACAAACAGTATTTTTCTTTTATCAGGGTAAAATGATGCTCCCCTCCCCTGTATTCCTGCTGTATTTCCCTTTATCTGCATCCTTTGGTACCTTAATTCAGAAGTGTCTTAGCTAATGAAAGAATCTACTACATAGAGCAATCAAAATGTTAAATAATTTATTCCTTCCAACAAAGCAATCAATAACCAGTATGAGATATTATGTTAAATCTTTTTAATGGCTTTTCGAAACATTTTTTCTGATTTCTTTTAAATTCTTTCACATTCCCAAAGTGGTGTCCCTTTTGCTATATAGTAAAGCTTTGTTTTCCTTTAATACAATCAACAAATAATTCTAATGCACATGGTGAGTACTCACCCAGAAGTGAGGCATTGCTCTTAAAGCTATTTGGTGTGTCTTTTTTTATTTTTAAGACTAAAATATTGACCTTTTTGTGTTAGGTTTACAAAACTTACTGTTCTGTCCACCAATCATCTGTGTAATATGCGTTTGCACATAGTATATTTTTTACAACAAAGAAAATGTAAATGACATTTTGTGATCTGTGCCTAATGTTTTCTTAGCACAATATATAGATCAATGTTGCTTAAGTCACCAACATATGGAAAAAATATACAAAAACTTATTTTAGTGAAAAAATACTTTTGTGTAGCTGTTATTTAGATCTTTATATTAAATCAAGCTGTATTCTTAGTGCTGCTGAGAATATAATATACTTAATTATGAAATACAGGTGACAGCTTTCAGTATTTTCTTTTGTAATGATCTGTTTTCATATTCAGAGTTTAAATTAGCTTATTTTTTAGTGTGCTACATGGAATTGTGTAATAAATTGTCAGGGGTTTAGATGTAACAAAATGGCATTTGGGAATTAGTAGTGAAGCAGGTCTGAGTGGTAAAACATGTAAATCTTACTTTTTTTTTACCATAATTTTCCTGCCTGATAGATATTTTAAATTTTATATCAAACTACTACTGAGTATTTTTCTTCTCAGCATTTTTGATTTGTTTGTTTTATGAAATGCATTAATGAATGTGCCTACGGAAGCCAACCATGTTGCACACTGGTGGTTTGACTTCATAGGCCCTTTAGTGGAAATGTCATCATTCTATTGAGGTTGTTCTGAAACCCTGTATATTTTTTAAAATGTAAGAAAGGTTTAAAATAAATAATAAAATAGTATTCTATATATCAAAATCAGACTTTGCTCCAGTTTAATAAAATACTTAACTTGGAACAAGAGTTTACTTGTTTGGGATCAAAATTTAACTGTTTTATATTTCTGTGGTTTGGGTTGCTTACATTAATTCTTTTCCCCAGTTTGCAATTGGCATCTTGGAAAAGTTGAAATGCACATTTTAAGTTTAGATCAGTTCAATGAAACATGATAATATAACTTTTCAGTGGTCATAAATAGGACCTTCAACATGTATTATTTGAGAACAAACACATTTTGATTCCTTAAGTTTGGAGTGTACAGATAGTTAGAAAAGACTCAGAAGATGACCTGTATAGGAACCGTGAGGTCATGTTTATTGCATTTTCCTCTTCTAGTTTTTTCTAATAATAATTCTAACAACAGTTATGCGCCAGGCACCGTGTTAAGTTTTACATGTGAAATTTAATCCTACTATGACTCTTTGAGATAGCTACTGTTATTCCCATTATAGAGAGGAGGAAACTAGAGAAAAGTGACTTATCCAAGGTCACTCAATAAAGTCAGTGTCAGAAGTTCAGTAATACCCAGTTGTCCTGGAGCCAAAGCCTGCACACTTAACCACTATACATACTCCCTCCACCTCCCCCACCTCCCCCACAAAAAGCGCCTTCAAACCTTTGTACCTCTTTTCATACAAAAATTCTCTTTCTTTTTTTCTCACCTAAATCTTTTGCTTCACTTCTTTTTCTGTTCTGGTGATATCTTTTTTCTTGATCTTACAAATCTCTTTGATGAAAACAGCAATTTTAATAAGCCCAAACTTTCCAGGTTAGTCTATAATCTGTAATCTATAATCAAACTATTTTTTAAAATAGTAAAAGTGAAACCCCAGGCATGGCATTTCCTTGACATTACTTTTGTTCATTTTTGTTAAGTTTTCCTTGAATAGTTTTTAAAAAGCTCTATAAATTTCTTATTGAAAGAGAATTTTTTTGAAGAAGAGTAGAAATGGAAGTCTTTATTGTAGCCTGAAAGGGGAGCCACTATGAGGCAAGTTTTAGGTTTAGAATCTCTATTTATTGTAATGTTTCCTGTGTAACTCTAGGGTAAGCCACTTAACTTTCTTTTGACATACTTTAATATGTGTATAATTATAAAATAAGGTAATACTTATTTTGAAACAACTCTGTTTTTTTCAGAATAATGCGTTTTAAGAACAGGAAGCATAGCTGTTATTCTCATCATTATATAGTGTTCTGTGATAATTATCCAATTTGGTTATAAATGACAGAATATATAATTTATTATGTGAGTGTACACATAAATGATGTTGTTGTGTTAAAGGACTGTGCTCTGTCTCTCCTCACCCTGAAAACTAATTTATATATATACATAACAAGTATGTGATAAACAAGTAAAGAAGAACAAGATATGGAGAAGTGCTATGTAACATGCTGAGCATAGCATCACTTGTGTTCAGGTAGAAGCACTGGCAGTGCACAGGAGCCTGTGTTACTGTGGATGCTCTATTTTAATGTTTTAGGTTCCAACAGTTGACCTTTTCTCTGAGCAAAACTATTGTAAGATTAAGAAGGTTATGTAGAAAGTGGCATATTCTACAGACAAGTATATAGACATTGGGGAAAACAAAATGACCAGTGTTTCTTGGAAATGAAAGTTTTATCCAGTGCTAGTTTTGCTCTATAATTTAAAATATTCATAACTTTTTAAAAATAGTAAAAGTGGGCATCTTTTAAAATATTAAGTGATGTGATTAGGTACTTCTTTATTAATATTTTATTTACAATTTATTTTTACAATGAGCATTTACTTTTTTAATAATTAGGAAGAGAAAATAGTTTTAATAAAAATAATGTCTATTTAAAAAATATTTTGACATTTCACTAAACAGCTTTTGTTCTTTCTATAAGTAACATTATACAGTTTTGTCTTAAAACTATTTTGCTTTGATGATAGTTTATATGATTTTCATAATACTTGTTATTTTAGATAGTTTTTCAGAGAAATTTGATGACCTTCTACTTATGATATTAGATGTTCTTATTTTTGCTTCAACACAAATGGTTTGAAGTGTTATTTGCTGAATTTGAAATGGATATCAATCACTGTAAGGTTTTTTTATGCACCACTGATGACACCTTCTAGCATTTTTTCCCACATCTTTAACAAAAGGATGACCCTGCATTTCATAGATTGGCAGGATTCTATTTTCAGTCCCCCCATCTAAAAAGGTCATATCTATAACTTTTTAATGGTAATTTTATTCTATTCTTATATATGTTTAGAGGCCCAGTGCACAAATTCATGCACATTGAAAGGAAATTAATTAGAAGGTGGCTGGAGGGGTGGGACTGGGCAAATCCGGCCAGACATGCCCTGGAGCCAATCTCCCACGGTCCCTCTACAGCTAGCTGCACCTGGTGTAGCCAGAGCTCGAAGGGCATCTGCAGAGTGAGCGGGGTCCCTCTGGCAGGTGGGGTCCCTCGGCCTGTCCTGCAGGGACCAGGCCAAAACCGGCAGTCCGACATCCCCCAAGGGGTCCCAAATTGCGAGAGGGCGAGGCCAGGCCTTGGAACCCACCGGTGCATTTGTGCTCTGGGCCTCTAGTATGCATATAAGATTTTTGGTTAATCTCTTCCCTCCCTCCCCCCTCCCCTCTTCCCTCTGAGATTCATTAGTCTGTTCCATCTTTCCATGCCTGTGGTTTCCGCTCCTGTGTTGAGTGTCTGCTCCCTGGTGGTCAGTGTGCGTCATAGCTACCAGCCGGTCAGCCAGTCAGCCGGTCACTTAGGCTTTCACTAGTATATATATATACTAGTAGATTGCCCATGAAGGTGAAAATATCACAGTAATAAATCTAGCAAGTGTCTGGTGTGTCTGATAGATATTAAACATAAAACACATAGGATATCAGTACCTTCACCATAGTAAATGGGACCATATTAATTTTTGAGATTCTAAAATTTATAGATGATAAATATCAAGAAACATAGCACATAGAGTAAAATTTATTGAATGGTAGTATTTGCTAAAATTCTAAAACTTTCCCAAATGCTACTTTATTCAAGAGAAATCACTTTTATCTTTGACTTTAAAAATTTGACTCCAATTTTATTTTATGTTTTCTACTTAAGCAAGTGTAAATATGGTTGATGCCAGTTAAAAGTGCCCGAATAAACTTTATAAATTCAAAGTTGTGGCATTATTTTAGTTGAGAGGCCCCCACAAACACAAAATCAAGTATAAATGTATATAGCCTGTTCATTCAAATTCAAAATATAGCCCTGGCCAGTGTGGTTCATTGTTTGGGCATCGTCCCATGCACCAAAAGGTTGCTGGTTTGATTCAGGGTCAGGACACATGCCCAAGTTGTGGGTTTGGTCCCCAATAGGGGGCATCCAGGAGGCAGGGGATGGATGGTTCTCTCTCACGTTAATGCTTTTCTCTCTTCCTCTCTCTAAAAACCAATAAAATATCTTTAGAAAAAGAATGTCAGACTATATCTTTGAACGCAGTGCAGACTGTAGCAAGCGGTGACCAGTGTTTTGTCTGTGGTTATGCTTGTCACAAACCATTGATCACGGATATACTCAGTGTAAAATACAATTTTAAAGCAGTTATGTTCATAATAGAGTTTGAAGTTTAAAATAGGTATTATTAGATCATACATGTTATGCTAATAGCCTCTTCACAGTTATTTCATTTACTTTTTCAGGAATTTTATAATAAAAATGTTAAATTGATATTATAAATGATAGATGTAGAGAAGATTAAAAGATAATTTGTGAAGAAGCCAATAAAAAATTCCTGAAAATACTGGTTTTAATGTTTTACTAAGTTAAAATATATTTGGAATTTTCTTATATTTATTATTTTGACAAGGAAAAGATGATTCAAAATTGGTTTTTCAGAAATGCTTGCAGTTATGAATTTCAAAGTCGAGCATAGTTCTTTATTTGAAAGGAAAAAACCACTGTATAATGTATATCTAGGTTTTTGTGAAATGTTTTTCTTGCCAAAGGTTAAAATTTAAAATGAAGTTGTATTAAAATTAAAAATTGCAAATAGATATACATTCAAATTGCTGCTCTCTTCAAATAGATTTTGAGGAAAAACTCACTATCCCAAAGATTAGTTTATTATCCTACTTCCACCACTCCCAGGCAACTAAAAAATCTTATGTGTCTAAGATCTTAAAACTTTACTGGTCATGGCATGTATGGGGGGGCAACTGATGGATGTCTCTCTCTCTCTCTCTCTCTCTCAAATCAGTAAAAAACATGTCCTTGGGTGAGGATTAAAAAAAGAAGATAGCAAATTATCAGGTTTTCATTAGTTTGACTTCAGATGAAAAATCTCAGAGATTCATTAGGTCTTCCTACCCTTTTCAGAGTACTCAGTAGACTGGAGGTGTTAAGAGAAGACCTCAAGGACTTCTTATAGAGATTATTCGAATGTTGATATTGTGTCTATTTCATATATCCACCAACTTGCCCTTTCATGTTAGCACCTTTTAATTTCAGACAACTTTATAAAAGAATGAATTATAGCTAATCACTGTAAACTTATTTCCAAATTCTGCCTCTCCTGATTTCCATCCCTTTTACATAACTAATTTCTCCTTTTTCATCTTCAATCAAGATTCATTTTGTGTGTTTTTTAATTTTTAAAGAAGTATTACCCCTTGAGGAAGTTTAGGGGTCTAAAGGCAAAAAAAAGAAAATTAAATACCCATTGTTCCATTACTGATATATAATTAGATATAACAACTTTTCAATTTCTTCTTTTTTTTCCACTATGGACTAACACTTTTTCTATATACTAGTAAAGGATATTTTGGCCCTGCTGTCATGGCTCAGTGGTTGAGCGTCAACCTATGAACCAGGAGGTCACAGTTTGATTCCTGGTCAGGGCACATGCCAGAGTTGCAGGCTTGATCCCCAGTAGAGGGCATGCAGGAGGCAGCCAATCAATGATTCTCTTTCATCATTGATGTTTCTCTCTCTCTCTCTCCCTCTCTCTTCTTCTCTGAAATCAATAAAAATATATTTTTTAATTTTAAAACAAGGATTTTTAAATGCAGTTATTTATAATATAAGCATTTTTGATGTTATTGTATATTCTTTATGAACATCTTTATAAATAAAACATTGTCTCTATTTAGTATTCTTACAATTTTTAAGAAAGAAATACTTAGTTAAAATGTATGGAGATATTTTAAGATTATTTATACATATTGCCAAATTGCTTTCCAAAAGGAGCGAGCCAGTTTATCTTCACACCAATAATTATCAAGCTATGTTGTTTCACCACAAACTTTCCAGCAGAAAGTCTACAGTAACAAGTAAATTAAGGGAATTGATTTTCACTTTATTCCCTCCCAGCTCCTTTAAGAGGTTGTTTTGTTAATGCAGTTTTTTCTGGTATTTGTTTTCCTAGCATACCTGCCCCCCCCACCCCCCTCGCCAAATGTAGCTAAAATGGGTCTGCTGAACCTCATTTAAAGAAATAATTCTTTATTTCAAAGGTCTTTGAGCCCAGATTATCTT